TTAGGCTATCAATTCTGTGTATAATCCCTTTGGGACTCAGATAGGGGGATTAAGCTTTTCATGTACAGTCACATAGTTTTCAATGGTTATTTTGTAACGTAGAATTTCACATTTTGCCAAACCACTTTAGTTTTGGGGCATTTAGATTTTGCATAGCCCTTTTACATTCATTTCAACTGTTCTAATCTAACTACTCCTTATAGTTTCTGTTCTACATAAAATTAGATGCACGCAGTTGTTCTGCTTTACAATTACTACCACAGAAAGCAAAAACCGGAGCTCGAATATTTGGATTATGTCTCATTCTGTAAATTGGCCATGTCACTATGGCCTTCTCTGGCGGCATTCATGAATATAACGAGTCAAAGTGAATCGGTGACTGAGAATGAGCTCTCGTTGACTGAAAAATTGGTGAAGGATGCTTGCAACATCTCTTTAAACTTAGATGCATCAAAAGATGTTCCGCTTATAGAAAAATGGCCGATTGCAAAAGTTGGGGTGTTGTTGATTGACCCAAACAAAGAGAATTGTTTGCTTTGGTTTGGTTCTGTGACTGAAGGTGTTTGGTCACTCATTGAAAAGGATATCGATGAGTTAAGCCAAGGAATTTTGGCAGAGGAAAAAGTGGGTACGAAAAGGAAATTCGTCAGTCGGAAAGCGAATATGCAACAGATTGCGTTTGATGCCGTGAAAGAAAAATCAGGTAATTTTGATTCACTATAATCTATTTCAGGTCTCACTAGAGCTTTTTTAAATATTTTACCTACCAACTTTTGTTTTTCAGCTTTAGTTTTTCTGCTGTTACAGAAGAATCAGTCGTCTTTTGAAAGCAGAAGTATTTGGAAATGCTTTATGAGTTCTCTTTTTGATATATTTGATGCATTTCTCAAAAATTGAATCTTGTTTACTTTTTGATTGTTTTGTTACATTGAGGCAGAGATTGAACGTGCTGATCTTGTGCTTCTGGAGACTCATGTTACGTACTCGTTGAGTAAAGCAAAGTCGGCCACACAATTTTACATGATGCAATATAAAAGGCCGTTCAGCACAAACCAAACAGTCCCCCTTAAATTTCTGGTCGAGAGGTTAGACCCATAATCACAATACTTTTTCTAAATTGTTAATTATGTATACGTCTGAGAATGATATGCTTAAAGAGAAAGCTTATTAGTTGGCTTCTGAAAAAACAATATTTTCAACTTCTGTCAGTTTGCAAGGCCCTTTGGCTGAAAAGTATGGTGATTGTTGGGAGTCTACAGCATTTGTCGAGTATTATCACATGGTTCCTTATGTGGAATTCATCGCGAGCTGGCTTTCAAGGTATGTTATCTATGAACCTCTTTTTTGCCCATACTCGATTCGTTTTCTTTGTTTTAGCGTCATTTGAGTTATATAATCTTGTTTTGAGGAGGATATGATTTAAATATATTGACAAAATTGTTTATAGTGCAATTTGTGTGAATTCTGATAATTAGAGTTTCTGATGAAGTGATTTTTCTCAATTGTGGAACCAAACTAACTGAGAAAGTATAGCTTGTTCTAAAAAAGCTATTGATAGGAAAAAGTTATAAAAAATATTTATTTGTGTTTTAAAGGTGAACCTGAATCAGAATTAGAAATCTTAAGCCAAATGTCCTCTTCTGTTAGATTTAATTAAATTCTGCTGAATATGAAACAAAAGCTGGTGCTCGAATATTTTTTTCTTCTTGTACTTCTGTTCTTTATCACTCATTTAATAATGATTGGGTTGCTTGAACATGTACTCTCCCATTGGATAATGTATCACAAAATATTGCAGGAAGGATTTGTGTTTGCCGAGTTTGAATGGCTACAGTGGCCCAAGCACCACAAAAACTGGCGAAAAAGAATCAACTTCAACCAAAAAGATTGCTTTGCCTACTAAAGAGCCTTCTCCAAAAACATTGGCGTTTGAGAAAATTCACAAGAAATCGAATCAAGTATCAATGAAGGCGGAAAAAGTTATTTATCCAGATATTTTCAATGAAGATGACTATGAGTATCTCAAGGGTTCATTATCTGGCACTTCAAAAGGGAGTGAATCTACTAAGACCTCTCCTAAGAGTGAGGATACAAGCATGAAGCTAAATTCGAAAACAATTGTATATAACCGGAGTAGGGAGAATACTCCATCTGTGAAAAATGTTGCACATAATCCCGAAGCTACCAACTTTAACGTCGGTTTTCTCTTTTTTTCTTTCTTTTTTTCTTTTTTTCTTTGTTAAATCTTATACATTTTTTTTTAGTTCTGTCCTTATTGCAGATCAAAGATTTATTATGGTGTCAGAAACTAAATTATCTAAGAATCTTGCTACATTAGGTGGCGATACCAAAGGCTTTGAAGCCAAACGACACTTTATGCAGAGATGATATGAAGACTGCAGAAAAAGGAGATGTGAATAACTCGTCCAGTCAAAATGGGATAGTTGCTGTGACTGAAAATCCGGTAGTTCAGCTTGAGGAGCCATACTATATTGAAATGAAAAACGAGAAGGATGAGCTCGACAGGCTGAATGCATTGGCTCTTCTTGCTAGAAAAAGACAAGCATTGGTAATGCTTTTGAATTTTATGTCCGAATAAATATACTCTCATTTGTCTAAATTCATTATTACTATTTAAAAGAAGATAAAGAAATGTGTGTGCCGTAAATGCTTTTCGTATTTGGCAGTTGTCTCAAATCTGCACTTTGGAAGATGAGTTTGCATTGTATGAAGATTGTATGGAACGAATAAGGGATGGTATGTTCTCTTTCCTAGATTTTTTATCCACATTTTTTTGCAGTTTGGTCTGAATATATAGAAGTTGCACGTTTTTAAAATTCTATTCAATATAATTTCTATTACTTCTTCAAAACTTAATTGTCATAATAAGTTGGTTGCTAACTTGCTATGTACTGATGCTGCATATTGTTAGCTAGTTAATTTTGTAGGTAATATGGACAAATATAATGAATGCAAATGGCAATTTAATGTTAATCTGTATTGTCGATTAATTCAGTTGGCGATTCTGATTTGGCTCGTCAATGCATCAACTCTATCCTAAGCCACAGTAGCACTTTACTTCCAAAGAATGAAATCCAAATCTTAGAAAAGGGTCATCAGCCTGTCGAAAGTCATTGCAATATATTTCATCCCGGAGTATCTTCATGTGACGTGAGTTTTATTCTTGAGAAAATCGTGTTATTTCTGTCCNAGGAAAAACAAGAACAAATTTATTTTTATATATTTTCTAATGAAGAATCATTGTCTTTTTCATAAAATCTGTACTTTCTCAGTATTTGGAATATCTGTGTGGCAAGAATAACTGGAGGCTCCCCAGATATTTTGTCAAGCCTTCTGATGGTAAGAATTTTTCACATTGATCTTTTTTTATTTTTTTAGGCTTATCTTACTGAAGATGAAATAACACATAGGGACTATTTGATTTCTTTTAGTGATTAAACGTTTTGATTTGTTGATAGGTAAATTCATGTCGAAAGTGGTGGTTACTGGTAAAAATTTCGAGCTCTGTGTAGAGGGTAATTGGGAGTGCAGTCCTTGTGAAGCAAGGGAGTCCAGTGCTGTTGGCATGATTGCCAAATTATAAGACCACTTTTCTGGGTTAATCAGGATTATTTTGTCATTTCTGATTATGTGGGATATTATTTCTCTATTCAAATGGATGTGTGTCCATCATTTGACATTGTCTGAGAACATTTTCTTTTTTCTTGGGTGAAAAAACGGTTTTTGAAGGGTTAGTTGCAATGTTTAACTGGGATCATCTGAGTTTTGGATTTCTTCTATTCAAATGGTTTTTTGCTTGTAAACTTTTATATTTTAATAGTTGATGGTTAGTACAAAAATATGGTGGTGTTTTTTCATGCTTTTTTTTTTTTAGTTTTTGTTTATATTAATGTATTTTTATTTATTTTCTTAACAAATATGTTTGAATTTTTAAAATTTATAGTTTTAGATGTTATGTGTCTTTAATTGATAGATTTTGTCTTTCCAGACATTAATCATAATCAAAAGCTTGACTATTTATCATAATCAATAGCTGGACTATCTTTTGGAACCTCAAGTTGACAATTTTATCTTTTGGGATTTAAATTGGGATTTGATGATACAAGAATTACGTGACGTTAATCCAGGACATGTGGTGGCGATTGATGCTCCGACGTCCTCTTGGACTCGTCTCTTTTGCTTTGATGCCTGCAAAACAGAACCTCGGGGTTGTCCTCAGGGGTAGACCCTCTGATGCATAAGTTAGAATTAGTTTTAGGTTTTTTGGGTGGCGGCTGTAGAATGAGTAGAAGAGAGAGTATTGAGTCGTAGAGAATGTGTATTACCTTGACCTAGGTCGTCCTTTTATAGGAGTTAGACGTCCTAGATCTCCCTTGTAATGACGTAGGACTTCTCAGCCCACTAGCTTGGTCGGTTGAACTCAGACCTTGGGCCCAAAAAGCTCCTCTGGACCTTGAGCCTACCGGAATTCTCTTTAGGACCTTGGGCCCACAGTCAGGCTCCTCGGGACCTTATGCCTAACTTGAGGTTGGGCTTCAGCCTCGACTTTGGACACTAACGGTCCTCGAAGTACACGTGTCTTTATTCTCTTGAGCCACGTGTATCCTAATAAATGTTTATATTTTCCCTTATCACTTGGTGCCCACCGAGGTCTACAAAGAAGCTTCTCGGCCTACCGAAGTGTTCAAAAAATTAGCCCTCGGACTACCGAGGTCTACAAAGAAGCTCCTCGGCCTACCGAGGTGTTCAAAAAATTAGTCCTCGGACTACCGAGGTCGACAAAGAAGCTCCTCGGCCTACTGAGGTGTTAAAAAATTTAGTCCTCGGACTACCGAGGTGTCTAATATACGTCCAAATTATTGTTATCGATGTTGTTTAAGGTAAATACCAACGCTACTGCTATCGGTAAATAATAACTAGCTACCAGACATGAAGAAATAATTACATGGTAAGAAAAAAATTACCAAGATCTGAGGACTTTCGAAGGCTGACGTCGAGCGTGAAAAATCGATGCAATCCCAAGAGCTTGATTCTCTCCCTCTCTCTCTATCTCTCTCTCTCTAGAATATAACAATGTTAAAAGTGAGGAGAGAAATGAGAGTGAGGCATTTTATAGCAAGCAGCTGGACTGTCTGTCTGTGCAACTGTAATGGAGAGTCGCCAAATGCAGATATTCATCTATAAATGTCTTATCGCTTATTTTTTGTACGCGTAAAAATTACCGCTTACATAAAATGGGGGGCAGGTGATAAGGGAAAATATATATATTAATTAGGATACACTTTGCTCGGGAGAATAAAGATACGTGTACTTCGAAGACCGTTAGTATCCAAAGATAAGGCTGAAGCCCAACCTCAAGTTAGGCCTAAGGTCTCGAGGAGCCTGACTATGGGCCCAAGGTCCTGAAGAGAATTCTTGTAGGCTCAAGGTCCAAAGGAGCTTTACTTTGGGCCCAAGGTCTGAGGTCAGCCCACCAAGCTAGTGGGCTGAGAAGTCCTACGTCTATAGAAGGGAGACCTAGGTCGTCTGACTCCTATAAAAGGACGACCTAGGTCAAGGTAATACACATTCTCTACAACTCAATACTATCTTCTACTCATTCTGCAGCCACCACCCAAAAAACCTAAAACCGATTCGAACTTAGGCATCAGAGGGTCTACGCCTGTGGACAATCTCGGGGTTCTGTTTCGCAGGCATCGGAGCAAAGGAGACGAATTCAGGAGGATGTCGGAGCATCAATCGCTGCCATGTGTCCTCGGACTAACGTCAAGTAATTCTTGTATTATCAGGAGTAAATTTATAGTTTGTGAACCAAACAAGTACTATATACAAGGTAAATAGAGTACGATTTTATATTATCCCATTTTCGTATCACGTTTACACTTTGCAAAATATACTCGTATTCTAAGCATATTTTTTATTGTTTGAGGTTTATCGAGGTTCAATAGTAGTAATAAAATTTTATTTATTCTCATTGGCCTAGCTCATCTTCTCTGTCTATTTGGTGGTTGTTGGGTAGTGAAACGTAGGTATGCTTATGTAGAGTGCGCTCAACTGTGTTAGAATATTGAATGTTTGTAAATTTTCAATTTGTGTATAACACCAAAATTAGTCGAAATAGCGGAAGCCCAAAACAAGAGTTAAAAACTCTTCGGGGATTGTCCCACTACCCCTCATAGATATTTCATTGATAAATCGATTGTGCACTCTTGTATAATTTTGATTTACAAAACTAAAACTCCTTTCTAGCCTAGCCACAACTACACTCGATCCTATTAACTACTTTCCTGACCACGTCCCGTGGACTTTACACACTCGAATCTCTCGAGAAAACCCAATACTTAATCCCTAAGTACTAAAACAAAGTGTTTGAATAAATTATGGAAAAACTAAACAAAAGTTTTTTCAGTTTTTCAATGGTGTAAGAACAGCGAATCACTGAGCAACGAACTAAAACAAAACACAGAAAACACTTGAACTCTTAATTGAAGCTCGGATAATAAGTAAATGATAATAATCTCAGCATCATTCAATTGATCTTCAAGTTGTGTATATAAAGACTCCTTAGGCATGAAGTCTTCTCCAAGCAACATTCCTTCTCTTTGTGATTTCATTCCAAATCTTGTGGTTCAGATACCCTCTTCTATCTTCCTTTTCTTTAGCTTCACACGTGTAGATCTCCATTGCCATGCATACGTCCAAACCTGCGAAACATAACCAAATAAGATCATACAAGATCTTTCCAAAATACATATATATAAGAACCCGAGATATATGAATATATATAAAATAATGATCTTCCCTTGTATTTCTTTTGCTTGCTTGAATGTATCTTCAATATATTATTTTTGAACTAATTGCCAAAAATAAATTTTCAGGTAGTCTTAATAAATTTTGTTTATGCTCATTGGGAACCAAATGCGTCAGCTTGAAGTAGGAGATCGGATTAAGGGATTACTTCTNCTGCACTAGAACTCAAAACCTAGAACAACAAAAGATAGAACCACCACTGAGCCACAACCCCTACTGGTCTATCACTACCAGAAACAGAAATAAACAAGCACCAACAACCTAAAAAAAAAAATACACAACCACTACAGCTACTAAGAACCAAACCACAAAGCAGGACAAAGAGAAGAAACCTAAGTGAACTAAACTGCCACAAGAGTCACTGCAGAAAGGTGGAGGAGCTAAAGGTTTCTCCTTCCAGGCTGAGTAAGTTGATTGCACGATAGAGAATTCAGAAAGCCATAAGTTTTGGAAAACCCAAAGGTTCTTGACTTTCCAAAGCCACCACAAAAGGTATGCTGTCAGTTGGATTCTGCACTGAGAAGGAGAGGAGCCAATGCTGCAAATTTTTGACAACCAGTGTCTGAAGCTATATGTGTCAGAGTTGAGCCCATCCCAGAGTAAGAGGGAGTTTTCAGACCCTTACGGATGACACCTCGGTAGGCTGAGGAGCTTCTTTGTAGACCTCGGTAGTCCGAGGACTAATTTTTTGAACACCTCGGCAGGCCGAGAAGCTTCTTTGTAGACCTCGGTGGGCACAAAGTGATAAGGAAAAATATATACATTTATTAGGATACCCTTTGCTCGGGAGAATAAAGACACGTGTACTCCGAAGACCGTCAGTATCCAAAGTTAAGGCTGAAGCCCAACCTCAAGTTAGGCCTAAGGTCTCGAGGAGCCTGACTATGGGCCCAAGGTCCTGAAGAGAATTCCTGTAGGCTCAAGGTCCAAAGGAGCTTTACTTTGGGCCCAAGGTCTGAGGTCAGCCCACCAAGCTAGAGGGTTGAGAAGTCCTACGTCTATAGAAGGGAGACCTAGGTCGTCCGACTCTTATAAAAGGACGACCTAGGTCAAGGTAATACACATTCTCTACAACTCAATACTATCTTCTACTCATTCTGCAGCCACCACCCAAAAAACCTAAAACCGATTCGAACTTAGGCATCGGAGGGTCTACGCCTGGGGACAATCCCGGGGTTCTGTTTTGTAGGCATCGGAGCAAAGGAGACGAATTCAGGAGGACGTCGGAGCATCTATCGCCGCCACGTGTCCTCGGACTAACGTCAAGTAATTCTTGTATCATCAGGAGTAAATTTATAGTTGGTGAACCAAACAAGTACTATATACAAGGTAAATAGAGTACGATTTTATATTATCCCATTTTCGTATCACGTTTACACTTTGCAAAATATACTCGTATTCTAAGCATATTTTTTATTGTTTGAGGTTTATCGAGGTTCAATAGTAGTAATAAAATTTTATTTATTCTCATTGGCCTAGCTCATCTTCTCTGTCTATTTGGTGGTTGTTGGGTAGTGAAACGTAGGTATGCTTATGTAGAGTGCGCTCAACTGTGTTAGAATATTGAATGTTTGTAAATTTTCAATTTGTGTATAACACCAAAATTAGTCGAAATAGCGGAAGCCCAAAACAAGATTTAAAAACTCTTCGGGGATTGTCCCACTACCCCTCATAGATATTTCATTGATAAATCGATTGTGCACTCGTGTATAAGTTAGATTTACAAAACTAGAACTCCTTTCTAGCCTAGCCCCAACTACACTCGATCCTATTAACTACTTTCCTAACCACGTCCCGTGGACTTTACACACTCGAATCTCTCGAGAAAACCCAATACTTAATCCCTAAGTACTAAAACAAAGTGTTTGAATAAATTATGGAAAAACTAAACAAAAGCTTTTTCAGTTTTTCAATGGTGTAAGAACAACGAATCACTGAGCAACGAACTAAAACAAAACACAGAAAACACTTGAACTCTTAATTGAAGCTCGAATAATAAGTAAATGATAATAATCTCAGCACCATTCAATTGATCTTCAAGTTGGGT